GCGAAACCAGGCCATGGTTGTGAACTCGGGCCGAAGCCCCCATCCTTAGACGAAGAAAGAACCGCATAAACACACACACACACACACTTTCGACGGTCCGCGCGGATTTCTCGGGTCTGCGCTGGACCCCCCTGCCGGGCGCGCGGAGCGCGCCAAGGGGCGACATGCCGGAGGCGCCGCCGGGGGGGGGGGGAGGGGCCGAGCGCGGATCCCAGAAACCCGCGCGGAGCGCCAAAAGTGTATGTTTAGGGCGTCTATTCTTCCTCGGATCCCGAAGCCAACGGGAGGGAGAGACCTCCTCCTCCTCCCCTCCTCCTCCCCTCCTCCTCCCCCTCCTCCTCCTCCCCTCGCGCGGAGCGCCAAAAGTGTATGTTTAGGGCGTCTGTTCTTCCTCGAATCCCGAAGCCAACGGGAGGGAGAGACCCGGAGGCCGCCAGGCCAGCAGGGAGCACGGCGGCGCACGGCGGCGAGGGCGCGCGCAGGGACGGGGCCGCGGGCGGGCGCGCGCGGCGCGGGGCGCTCCGCGCGCGGCGCTGGCGGCGCGCTGGGGGGCTCGCTCCGCATCGGGCTGGCCACGGCTGGCGGAGCTGCGCTCCTCCTCCTCCTCCTGCTCCTCCTCCTCCTCCTCCTCCTCCTCCTCCTCCTGCTCCTCCTCCTCCTGCCTCCTCCTCCTCCTCCTCCTCCTCCTCCTCCTCCTCCTCCTCCTCCTCCTCCTCGTCCTCGTCCTCCTCGTCGTCCTCCTTCTCCTCCTCTCCTCCTTCTCCTCCTCCTCCTCGTCCTCGTGCTCGTCGTCCTCCTCCTCTCCTCCTCCTCCTCCTCCTCCTCCTCCTCCTCCTCCTCCTCGTCCTCGTCCTCGTCCTCGTCCTCGTCGTCCTCCTCCTTCTCCTCCTCCTCCTCCTCCTCTTCCTCTTCCTCGTCCTCGTCCTCGTTCTCGTCCTCGTCCTCGTCTCGTCCTCCTCCTCCTCCTCCTTCCTCCTCCTCCCCCTCCTCCTTCTCCTCCTCTTCCTCGCCCTCGTCTTGCTCCCGTCCCGTCCTCCTCGTTCCTCCTCTCCTCCTCGTCCTCCTCCTCCTCCTCCTCCTCCCCTCCTCCTCCTCCTCCTCCTCCTCCTCTCCCTCCTCCCTCCCTCCCTCCCTCTCCTCCCTCCCTCCTCCTCCTCCTCCTCCTCCTCCTCCTCCTCCTCCTCCTCCTCCTCTTCCTCCTCCTCCCCCTCCTCCTCCTCCTCGTCCTCCTCCTTCTCCTCCTCCTCCTCCTCCTGCACTCGGCACCCCTCCCTGGCGCGCGGAGCGTCCCGGGGGCGGCGCCGGAGGCGCCGCTAAGGGAGCCCCGGCGCCGATCCGAGAACTCAGCGCGGAGCTCCAACAGCTCATGCGTATGCCGCTGCTTCTTCTTCGAAGCTCCCCAAGAGTCCGGCCTCCGCGAGGGGCCCGAGCGGAGGAGGGCGAGTTGAGACACCAGCAGCTCAAAATCGGTCCCTGGACCCCTCCGAGGGTCTAATCGGTCCCGGTTTACCGAGCCATGTCCAGCCGTGGCGAAGAGGAGGCCCTCCGGGGGTCGACTGCCGTGGTCTCTGCTGGCCACCCTCCGAGATGGTCAGGCCTCTGCCGGGGCCCGGAGCGGGAACCTCCTCCGCCACAGCCCCGGCAGCCGCGCCCGCAGCTCACCGGGGGCGCCCAGCACCACGTCCACCGCCGGGTCGGCCGCCTCGGCCGCGTCCCCCAGCAGCGCGGCCTCGCCGCCCGCGTCCGCGCCCTCGCAGACGAGGACCGTGCGGAGGCCCAGCGCCCTGCAGGCGCGGACGTTCTGCTGGGAGCAGGGCCGCGCCGAGACAGCGGCGGGCGCGGAGGCTCCTCGCCGCCACGGCCGCACCGGCCTCGAAACACGCATCAGGATGGACCCAGGGACCCTGACCTTCCAGGAGGGCTAAAAAATAGCACGCGACTGAAAAACCTATCCCTGAGCTATTCTGTGTCTTGGTTTTCGGCTGTTTCGTTTCGTTTTTTAGGTTTTTAGGCCTCCCGTGCTAAAAAATGGCCCTCTGGAAGGTCAGGGGAAGTGCCCCGGGGGCCGATTGTGGGCGGGCCAGGCGGGGAGCCGCAGTTGTCTGAGGTCGGGCGTGTCCCCCTACAGGCGGAGGTTGGAGGAAAAGTAGAGCAGAGTCTAACAAAGACTCAAAAACAGCCAACAGTAGTCAACAAAAAACCGTGCCCAGACGATGTTGTGGCGATTTTTGACTATTTCTCCTGCAGAGGGACATGCCCGACATGACAGCTGTCTCAACTGGCCCTCCTCCGATCTTCATGGAGTCCTCGAACATCACCGCGCGCCCAGGGTCCTCGCACCCCACCGCGCTGAGCACGGCGCGGAAGGCCTCCGGCTCGGGCTTGCACGCGGGGAGGACGTCCTCGACGGCGAAGACGCGGTCGTCGGGGAAGTGCTCCCGAACGCCCAGGAAGTCGAGGCACCTCAGCGCGTAGCTGCGCGGGGAGTTCGTGAAGGCCACGAGCGTCAGGCCCGCGTCGGCGCCCAGGGAGCGCAGCGTCTCGGACAGCTCCGGGTCCGGCCTCACGAACCTCTGGAAGTCGCAGTGGTCTGCCCAGAACTCGCCCAGCTCCTCCTTGACGAACGGCCTCGGCAGCCTGCCCTCCAGGTCCGCGATGCCGAGGCCCTTCAGCGTCGAGTGGAAGCGCCGGAAGTACTCGTTGCGCAGGGCCAGGGCACTCTCGCTGGACTCGAAGCCCAGCCTCTCCACCATGAACCTGCATACGACCTCCCCGTTCCGGTGGTCAGAAAATCCGGAGCTCACGGGGTAGAGCGTGTCGTCAATGTCGAAGATGAGCACATCAACCTCGACCTCTGACGGGTGCGC